GGAGGATAACGGACTGGTGTACCACCGAGGTAGGGTATATGTCCCACCAGAGGATGACCTACGGACAGAAGTACTCAAACAATGCCACGACAACCCCTCCGCTGGTCACCCCGGACTTCACAACACCCTCGATCTCGTTAGCACCCACTTTTGGTGGCCCACCCTGCGATCCTTTGTAGAAAAGTATGTGGAAGGATGCGAAACTTGTGCTAGGAAAAAGATACAGAGACACCCACGAGCAGTAACACTACCCCTAGATGTCCCAGCAGGTCTGTGGGAAGAAGTGGGAGTTGACCTGATCACACAGCTGCCCAATTCACAAGGATACGATGCCATCCTTGTCTGCACCGACCTCTACGGGAAACAAATCCACGCAATCCCTTGTACCACATCAATCACAGCAGCAGGTGTCGCTGACATCTACTACCGCGAAATTTTCCGCCTCCATGGCCTCCCCCTCCGCTTTGTATCAGACCGAGGACCCCAGTTTGCAGCAAAGCTCATGCGATCACTACTCTCCCGCCTGGGAATCAAATCCAATCTCACATCGGGATACCACCCCCAAGCGAATGGGCAAACCGAGCGGGCAAACCAAGAAGTCGAAAAGTATCTCCGGCTGTATGTGGGACGTCGTCAGGATGACTGGGCAGAGCATTTGCCAATGGCGGAGTTTGTGATTAACTCACGTACCCACTCTGCACTTGGAATCTCCCCATTCGAGCTCACTTACGGCTACCTCCCCCTATTTAACATTCCCGTTGGTCAGCGAAGTGGGATTCCAGCAGTGGATGATCGCATTCAGATCCTTCGAGAGGTGCGACAGGATGCCGGGGCAGCTCTACACCTGGGAAAAAGATGGCAAAAGGAAAACTATGAACGAGGAAAACGAAAGGCACATCAATTCCAAGCGGGAGATCAGGTCTGGCTAAGCGCAGAAGACATCAAGCTCCAACTTTCCAGTGAGAAACTTGGGGATCGACAGCTAGGACCTTACACCATTTTGGAGAAGGTTGGGCCCCTGGACTACCGTTTAGACCTCCCACTATCCCTGGACCGCATCCATCCTGTGTTCCACGTCGATAAATTGTACCCTTGGAGAGGGAACACCATAAACGGCGAAATTGCAACACCACCGGAACCAGTATATCTAGAGGATGAGGATGAGCCGGAGTATGAGGTCGAGGACATCTTGGATAGTCGGATTAGGTGGAAGAAGTTAGAGTATTTGGTAAAGTGGAAAGGCTACGATGCAGGACACAACTCATGGGAACCTGCACCAAATCTTGAACACGCCCCAGCAACTATCCGAAAATTCCACAAAAAGCACCCTCAGGCGGCAAAAGCTTGACCATTGAGGGCAATGGTCATAAGGAGGGGGGTAATGTCATGAAGTGAGCCCACCCCCTATCATTTTCCTTTCTTTACGATACACCATCCAAGCCCTCTTACCTACAATAATCATTCCGGAACATTCCATTCCATTCTATTAGTTCCATTCCATTCCTTGTGCCTGAGCTATACAGTATTACCTCATAGTTCCCACGCTCCACCTTGTATATATAAGCCAGCCCCCACAACCTGGTCCCTTATCTTGACCTCTTTGTCGTTGGGACCAGGTATGTCTTTAACTTACTTACTTGTATTTATTATCAATATAACTTTGTCGTTGGGACCAGTTGTCCGCTCCCGCTTAAGTCTCCGCTCCGCTCCGCCACCGTCGTCACCTCTTTGTGACAGATATTGGAATGAGGTTCCCATGTGTCTTCATGTGGACTGTATCCTTTCCATTGAACTTTATTATGTGAGGCTTTACATCAGACCACCAGCCTTGATGTGCTAACCCCTCCACAAAAAGGGAGCAATGTCAATCACTGATTGACATACTGGCTGGCAGTATATATAGTGCATGATGTTGTATCATAACAGTCTTACTGTTACTCAATGCATCCTTAGCCACTGTGGTTGGTTTGAAGCAGATTTTTTTTGACATGATGTTCCACACAAGTCAAGCATAAGCTTGTTAATGATTCAATTCCAAGCTACGCAAACTTACCAGATTTGATTTAGGGAGAGTGGTGCAGGAGATTATGGGTAGGATGGAATTGATGAATACATTAAAATGTATGTGTCGACCATTGTAGACTATTGGGCTTGGAGGGATTGGGTAGTAACTTAAATGATGAAGAGAAGAAAGAGTCTTACTTAAGGTACAATCCTGGACCCCATGAATTAATCTTCAATCTATTTTGCAAAAATATTTACTGGTAATCTTTTTGCCACTGTATTCACCAACCATTGACCAGTCAAAACAATGCCGGACCAAAAACTGAATATAAAAAAATCAGAAATCAAAAATCAACCGTGCCCTTCTCAAGTGCGTTAACCCGGTCATCGCGGGCGTTTCAACTTTTGTGCCGCCAGCATCAAAAGCTGAAGCTTGCATGAAACCCAAGTTAGGGTCTAAGCCTCTGAGGGCAATACTTTCATGAAAGAATACTTACAACTAGACCCACCGACAAGCCCAGCCGGTGTACTATCAAAAACGAGTATTCTTTATCGGAGCTCTCGCCTTGGCCGGACCGGTTTTTAAAACATACAATAGGAGGAGACGGACAAATACAAGCACACATAGTCCAAATATGGAAAGACCGGAGCGTCCAATCTCGTGGGAAAGTGCGCGAATACACGTTGTACTTCTTTGTCTTCCGATTCAACTCTCTAAACGGTAAATGCTTCTCAATCATAATGCCAAGATACAGCAATTCATCCGGCGGTCTCATTGAGGAACTTGATACTGTCAAATATTTGAGGGAAGATAAGAAAATATGCACTCAACCAATTAGGATGCGTTGTTTCGCGTTTGAGATGAATACCACACACGCTTTATCGTTTCTCGGGTTTGAGATTGCGATAGAGTCCTAAGCTCAATCGAATGAAAACAAAGTTGTTTGTCGAGGAGCACATTGATCCCACCGAGGAGTAGGACACGATCGTGAAGAGGATCGTATGTAGATATACAGAGTAAGCCATACAGTTAGATGGAAAATCTCTATATTAGCTCAAGCAATCTGATAGACCTGGTACTGTCGCGAACGAAATGTCCGGACTTGCCCATGCAGAGGACAATAGTAATAAATAGCGGGAGTTAACAGTATGCTAGAGTATGATTCAAGAACTGAGATAATGCTTTCGGCTTTGTTTTGCAAATTGGTTATCATACTGAGTGTAAATGAGTGCATGAATTGATACATCGACAACCAAAGAACGCTTGAATTCGCCAGAGTCCGATTCTTGGACAATATAAATACGTCTTGCTCTTGATACAAAAGAAATCAGAGTTTAAGAAACGATGCATCGTTCTTTGCGAGCGCTTTGTAATCAAGACAATTCCTTGACTTTCGAAACTTTCCATCAGGGATCAAAAGCCCTTTCATCTATGGCTTTACAGAAATATGTAACTCTTAGATCCCCTCGAGACAAAGAAATTGTTTACCTTGAATACGATCCTTCAAATCTACCACCTCCCTCTTCTGGTTATACGCGTTTTGTTTGTATCAGCGACACGCATACGCGGTTATTTCCCGTCCCGGATGGAGACGTTTTGCTGCATAGTGGGGATCTGACGAATACTGGGACTGTGGAAGAGTTCGAGAAGACTATGAATTGGATCTATGAACTACCTCACAAGTTGAAAATGTCCGTTTCTCATCGATGATGTCGGGCTTTTTTGAAGACTGAGCGCGTCAGAATTATCGCAGGGAATCATGATCTTCCTTTACATATTGACTGGTATGAACTGAACCACCATAGATGGTCCTATTCGGGGCACTCAATACCACAGGTGTGTTGTTTGGGGATTGCATTTCGATTCCCCTATGTTAATACATCGATTCTTCCAGGATCATGGCCGCATTCTAGAATTACTCAAAGGGAACAGGGCACGAGAAGCTAATGTTGTCTATTTGCAAGACGAAAGATATACTTTTCAAGCGAAAAATGGTGGAAGATTATGGTCTGTGTACGGGTCTCCGGTGAGTAGTAGTCTCCTACGAAAGATCCAAAGCATGGGTTCCTCAATATCTGTATTCCAGTGGTCTCCGGAGTTTTACAATTGGGCATTTGGATACACCGCTGCTGAAGGACCCTGTGAGTGCCTCGAATATATGAATGATACTGCTCATACGATCCAGGAACCCAAAGCTTTGATCTCCAAGTTCCAGATATCCGACATCCTGTGAGTTCTGGTTCTTCATTCCTACATCCACCGCTATCATTAAAAGTAATCACTCAATAGGCTTACCCATGGACCTCCTCGTAACATCCTCGACCGTACAAACCGAGGTGATTTTCCTGGCTGCTCCGCTCTCGCAGCCGCTCTTCTCCACCTTCGTCCTCGTTTACATCTCTTTGGACACATCCACGAGGCACACGGAGCTCACATCCATTCATGGTCCAAGGGAAACGTCGGAAACGTGCAAAACTATGTCGAAACGGATGATCCCATGACGGGACATTATTTAGATGAAGACGATAACGATGTAACGGTTTTCGTGAACGCTGCGAATTGGCCAATGGGCCAGCGCAAGCTTGAATACCAGACCAATACATTCGGAGGTTCGGGTTTCAGACCTGTTGTGGTTGATATGCTTGATTAGGAACTTTGGACCTGTCAAAAACGAAATGACCCGTGTTAACTGATAGTCTGTATAGTATTGATGTTGACTATGTTGACAACTACCTTTGGATTTGGACGGTACCTCTTGATATTGAAGTGGATTTTTGAAATTGGTACACTGTCATGAGCACGATACTTCCTTTGCAACTTTTGCATATGGTTGCGGTGGGTTCAGGCGAGCCTAATTTGAAAAGAATGCCTTGTTCCTAGGAGCTCCGAGGCTTGATCTCCTAGCATCTCATTTCCTTTTGACACTGCATAGAACAAAGTTTGCAGTTACTTGTCATCAACGGAATATGGTTCCATACAACGACTGTTATAACATGTCCCCGTCGATTAGTGGTTAGATCATCACGTTGTGGCCTAGCTAGCAATCCGTGAAGACGCAGGCTCGACTCCTGCCAGGGACACTAGATATCCAGTGTTGCGCATTTTTTGTTCTTCTCCTGATACAAGGAATTGCGTCTAGAATTAGCTTTTGAAGGATATTGTGTTATATTCTCTCTTCGAATAGTTCTGAGTTTGTGCCGCTGCGTTTTAGGTAGTAGTAGGTACCAACTGAAAATGTTGGGTAGCGTCCAGTCGTTTGTCGTTTTGTCAGAACAAGGCGATACTCCTCAAGGAGTACCAAAAGAAGTGCGAAAGATTGCTAGTCGGGAGGGAGCTAGTTGCATAGTATCGATTGGAGGCGGGATGGACGAAGTCATTCAACTTGTGCAAATTAATGTATAATCAGTCCAATGTGGTGTAGTGGCCAACATTGCTGTCTTTCACACAGCAGCCCGGGGTTCGATTCCCCGCATTGGAATCACTCGGAAAGATACATTTGTTTTTTCCGTCTTTTGCTTTTGAAAATGTCTCCTCAAAACTATTCACTGTCCGTATAATTAGTACGCCTTACACAAGCCGGCGTCCTTCGTGCGGTATTTCTCTTCATATTATTCAAACTACAGCGCAGGCGCGCCTTGTGACTGGCGCTTCTTCCTTTTCCCCGACTTCCATTTGCTTGCACAAATTATGCATGACCCGTCTGAAAAGCTCGAAATCGTTGAAGACTCTATTTGGTCTACCCGGTGACACTGCTCTACATATTCAACGCTGATTTGGACTGAATTAGTAGAGGGTGAATGCTGATTATAATCCTAATTTAACACGACACAGTCCTTTACACTCCGATTATAATTACAGCTTCAACGCAAGAGCCGATATAGGACCATGCGACAGCGAGCCAGGACGTAATCTCTGAGTACATCGAAAGAAGGTTCCTTGGATTGTTCTACTATAAAGAAGAAAGTATAAAAAGGCCAATGTTTACGTTCATGCATCCTTTTGTAGGCAACTCCTCGACCTTCTCAAAGGCCAGATAACCTTCTAGCACCATAAGAATGGCCTTGAAGCTTTTTCACCTTTTCCTCTCAGTCTACACCTCTGGCTTGCTCAGCTTCCACGGTGTGTACTCTGCTCCGGAGAGGTCTCAGCGATCTATGCATTCGGTGCCTGGAACTCTAATGCGACCGAGGCAAGGAGGCGCTGATAACGATGGGATTCATTTGGCGGTGTCCCCTCAGTGTGGACCGTTGGATGTGAAGACAATGAATGTGAATGCAGGTATTGTACCGGCATCGATCAAGACGATTGTTTCGTTTGGAGTGCGTATCTTCTGATCTTACTCCGCTTCGACCACTATTCACCTGACTCGTTCCTCGCTAATACGCATGGTTATAGGACTCGTACACGGATGGAGGGATTGACAATGGGTCTGCGCTTCTCCCGCCTGTTCTGATCCCTCCTAATGATGAAGCGGGTGGACGGTCCACGAATGGACCTGTTTGGATTGAAGGCGTATCGGGAGATTGGGGAGCTCATCTCATGGATTATGCCGTATGTTTTCTCTCTTCTTTTGTGCCCGAAACGTTCTCGTGGCGCTCCAGCTTGATTTGAAATTGCACAAACGTGATGGCGTGTGTCTTGTCAGAGGTCTTCTGATTGTTCTTCATTCTGGTTTTCAAAATTTTGGAAAATTTTTCCCATTTGACACTGTTTTTCCGAAACCTTACAGCAATGGGGCGCGTGTACGAATCTATCGTTGTGGCCGAGCAATCCCAGGAAGGTTGACTTCATTGATCAAAGTGTGTCATTCATGTGTCGATGTTACATCTTTTTTTTTCCTGATCCTTTTGCTTATCACAGTGGCAACTTTCCTTGGTCAATCCAACCAATTGGACCCGGATACAACGTTGTATAGTATATTTTTCGGTATCAAGTAAGTCCTCTACGGCGGTGGTCCTTACTGTACTAACTCTACGACCTTCTCCTTAGTGATTACATCGCCTCACTCAGTAAGATTATCACTCTTTCGTTCTCTCAGGACTATCCTGACCACCTCTCATTGCTATTACAGTCGACGGCGACCACATGCCTGAAGCCGCACAAACCATCCTGAACGAAATTCAAACCCTTTCCAGCCCGCCTACAAATGGTAAATCCTTCCTCGTTGTCGATGTCTACGGACGAGGGAACACCTCCGCCTGGGGAGAAGCGTACAAGCAGCAAGTATTCGATGGTCTCAAGGCGTTCCACGAGGGATCTGCGAAGCTCAATGTCGCTTATGTCGATATGGCGGCGATTTGGGATGGTGTATTGGGACCTAATCCTGGGTGAGCAACTCGGCCCCTGTGGATTTGAGAAGGTTTTTTCAACTTCTTTCTCGTCGGATGTTCAGGTATCAAGCTTTTGGTTATACGAGCACCGCCGCGTGTACGGTCTGCACAGAAGACTGTAACCAGTACGGATGGTGTATGGATCCGGAGCATTACTTTTACTGGATAGATGGGTGAGCATGATAGTTCTTATATGAGGACGAATATTTTAGTTGCCCATGAATGATAACACACCCATAGACATCCATCGAAAGAGACCCATCGGATTATGGCTGATTGGGTGGAAGAAGTACTGCAAAACTGTGAAGCGTAGGTCATTTTGTGTAGCTGTCAAACACCCTTGAAACATCGGGTCGTATGATGTATTGTTGAAATCGATAAATGTCACAAAAATTTGTCTATTGGACCCCATATTCGTTCCATATTGAATGAAATTGTCAAGTACACGCTGCATCATTTGAAAGACGGTAAGCCTTGAGTAACGACGACCTTGGATGAGGTGGATATTTATCAAGTCAAATCACTTGTGGTGATAGATTCAATCATTCGGGTTCGGAGAATAGTGCTGCTCATACGGAGTGTGAGTTATTTGTGTCGACGTGAGGTGAGCAGACCTTGAATTACCTCAAAGAGATGGCAGAACCCGAAAATAGTTACAGCGTGCCACGCCTTAGGTTTTTTGGTTCCAATGGAAGTAATGTGTAAGGTGTTCGACACTGTTGAGACTCAAGACAGTAAATCCTTTCTTTAGTGACACGATAGCAGGAGCTGCTCGGTCCCAACATCAGCTGCAGTCAGTAAAACAACAAATCGCAGAAATGGCCTCCACAGCGAAAAATCAGGGAAAGTGCAATCGCCAAGTTGACGAACCCTGCGCATCTAGTACTCAGACTGGGCAGTCCAAGAAATTGAAGGGAAATGAAATGCCAGCCACTGCATGTATATTATCCTGAATACCTCGCTCTGGTATTTTCGATCCATTTTCAAAGGTAGGATCGCGGCGGTGTTACAATCTTGAGCACCCATAAATATTGCTAAGCTGTGTATGCGGGGATGGTACCGGGTGATCAAGGAGTGGTTGGATGCATCTGGAAGTTTAGAAGTATACTGAGTTGTATTTATGTAGTGTAAGCTGCAAATCTGTTCCTGTGTATCTGACTCAATGTACTACATTAAGTTATTCGTCCGGCTGCTGGAAAACATCGCCACAATTGTTCGTTTAGCTCTGACCTTCATCTTCATCGTTTTCTGAAGTTAATGTCGTTAGTGAAATATTCAAAAGGCGTACTTTTTCCTGATCACTGTAGCGTTAGTAGTGATGAAGAATCCGAGAATTCTTTGCTCCGTGAAGAGGGCGAGAGTGTTTCCTCCAGTAGCGATGAAGTATTCGATGCAGCGGATCGTTTCCGTTGAAGCACTAGGCGAGCAGGAATAAAGGTTCCCTCATGGACGAGGCTTCCAAGGGAAAAGCAAAGCGGTAAGGTGCTAATACTGTTGGTTAATCTTCTTTCTCGTTTCTGATACGTTGATTGAAGTAAAGCGAATTGTACCATGTACGGCTCCAGACGGCGATCCTTCTACCAGTAATAATACAAAACTTAGACGTTCCCCTATATGCTCGAGGCCGTTGAAAATCCAGAAATCGAATGTGAAGGAAGATGTAGCTTCTGCAAGTATGCTGTCTTGAATATATCACACTGGACATTCCTTGATGCATCTTATCAGCAGCCTCCAGTCAATACACGCCGGCGATGTCGCCTATTCCAAGCTCATCGAAATTTAGAACTAAGCAGGATCCGAAGCACAATTCGGATACAAAACCAGTAATGTCTAACGCGTTATCAGTCGCTCAACCTCTTCCTTCGTCAACTCTGGAATCAAAGATAAACGCAACGCCTTCCGAGTCGAATGTCATCTCCAGAGAACTCCTTCAAATGTCAAACATACACTTAGCTCGCTCAAACTCTACTACGACTCACTCCCAAAATTCAGGTTCAAATCCCGTACCCGCTATTCCAAAGTATACGCACCATCCTCGACATTATCATTTCGATAGTTCTATCATCATACATATGGGGCAATCAGAATTCAAGCTATATCGAGGTGCACTCGTGCGTGCAAGTGGCTGGTTTCGGACTCGATTTGGTGAGGACAATGGTCCTGCGTCGTCCAATAGGAACGGGAATGGCAAGAAAAACGGAGAACCTAACCGCAAGCAATGTTGTAGCCTCAGGAACTGTTCCGACTTGCGCACTGGATGGTATTATCTCTAAGGAGGATTTCGTTGGACTTTTGGATGCCTTGGAAGATGCTATGTGAGTCATCGTTTCTTCTCGACTCTTTTGTAGAGCTTTGACAAACTAATACGATGTCCCATAGTGGAATCACTACATCCGGCCCACCCTCGTTTACTAACACTATCTCTATCCTGCGCGCTTCCTATGCTCTCGTTTTCACAAAATTTTACAATTGGTCAAAAATGGAACTGGAAAAGATGTGGGGTATATTCGACGAACCGGTATCGGTACCTTCTCTGCGACCTTCAGTGAAACTCGGTGCCAGTCAATCTACCGAAACAATCATCGTTGCTCGAACATGTAACGTTCAGCGAGTCATTTGCCCTGCATTGTATAAATTATTCCGGTCAGAAGAATTCGGGCGACCGTTATCAACAGCTTCAGCGTCGGGTCCTGCTGGAAAATTAAAACCTCTAAGAACTTCCGAACACGGACTATCAACGTCTGATTAAA